ATATATATATATATATATATATATATATATATATATATATATATATATATATATATATATATATATATATGGCTGGAGGGAGTTGTGCCTGAGCCTTTGTACTTATGTGTTTTATGTGAGTACAGATGCATGTCTCCATGCATTTATACACATGCACATGCTTGTGTACTCATATCAACACGACCTAATATGTTCAAAACCAAACCTGTGGGGTTTCTGTCTCCTCCCCCTCGGCACAATACAAGACATGGTAGCCGTCCACCACCTCGCAGCCAGAATTCTTAGACAGGACCAGTATAACACAGTTAGATGACCTGGAACACTTGGTCACATCTATAGCTGGGCTCTGGGGAGCTGAAATAAAATGGATAATATTGGGTATATCAATTACACACGTGGTCATATCATTACATATACCTGGGCTCTGTGGAGCTGAAATTACATGGACAAAAATGGTTACGAAATTCTTTGGTTACATCTACATGTATAGCTGGGCTCTTTGGAACTAAAATAAAATGGATAACAATGGTTATATCTATAAAATGCATGGTTACACTAGTATCTATGCATGAAGTTGGGCTCTGGGAAAATGAAATAAGATGGATCAAAAACTCTATGTTACATCAATAGCTGGGCTCTGTGGATGGAACTGAAATAATATGGGTAAAAAACTTTTTTACATCTATTAAGCGCTTCTTAGACCTATATTTACATGAAGGGCCTGCAAAGCTTAAAAAGCATGGCTACAAAACATTTAAAGTCAGAATGGATGAATGCACATATGTGAATACATGTGCATGTGCACATCCTCACTAGCTGCTGAACGTTAAGTGTCCTACCTGTCAAATACTGCATGTCTTTCATGATGGCCTTTTGTTTTCTGAGGTCCAGGATTTTAGTCCGCATCTTCTCCGTCTCCACTGGGGGCATGTGAAGTTCCTCCACTCTGCCACAGCTCTTTATCAATCTAAATAAAATCCAGTAATCAGTCTCATGGGCAATGGGGGATTCTGGAGTTGCCAAAGCACAACTTTTTAGGCTGGAAAATGATGTCCATTTTGAACCAAAACTTGATCTACTAGTAGATTAATGTGCTATGCCATTTCTCAAGTTGTATCAACTGAGGGGTTAAAAGAAAACATTTTCAAGCCTGCACCCCCCCCCCCCCCCACCCCCCACCCCTTGTACATGTTCTAGACTTGATTGATTTCTGGAGCAGTCTGCATTAACACCCTGAAAATTAGGATGAGATAAAAAAAACCTTACCTTTCATTTATTGTACCAGCTATCTGCAAGAACGACGCTGGATCTGTCTCCTTCATGACCAGCTTAGCATAGTGGACTAGGCTTTGAGATTCAGCGGTCAGTTTTTTGTGGTCATTCACTGCTACCCTGACTGCAGCCACCTGGCCTTGCTCTTCTAGGTCAAGGTCAGAATGGAAAAAACGTCTTTTGGCTTCGATGAAAGCGATGAGAGAGTTACATTGTTCATCTATGTCTTGTCGCCGTCTTGCAGCTATTTCCTAGAAAAATGCATTAAATTTGCAATAAATCAATATCAGTGGTAATGCAGTCTATCAATTTACTCTTTTATATATATATATATATATATATATATATATATATATATATATATATATATATATTCACATTATTTATAAAAAATGCACAGTGTTTTCTATCTGTAAAATAGGCAACATACATGCACAAGTGAAATGTAGACCAAAACTGGTTTTCCTACACTTAACTCTGTACAAACTATAATCTTAACAAAATATTCTAAATTTCATTTAATAATAAAATTAACTTTTTATTTCTATCTGCTTAAATGCTTCAAGGAAAAATGAATCTGATAAACTGTTCATATCAAGCAAGGGGGGCTCCAATTAGTTGACTCTCTAATGTAATAGCCTGCATATTAAGTTAACTATTTATCTCCCAAATACTTCAGTATCAATATATGTATACAGCTCAGTGCAAAGTGGGGCCTGAAAGCCAAAGTATAAGTCATTACCTGATAAACCTTCAGTTGATCTTCCTCCGATTTCACTGCCTCGGCTGCAGCTTCCTGGCTACTCTCAGTGCTCTTCATACTCACTTCCAGACTAGACTGAAATACATATATATCCAATACTCAACATACATTCTGGGAACTATTTCACAAAAAGTTGTAAACTATTAAGGCTTAGCTAAAAAGCTAAAATCAGGTAGTAAGAAATAAAGCCGTAAAGTTTCTCTTTTACAGATTTTACCTGACAATATGTAGTTGATACACAGTTTTCAGCCAGGTTGTTATTTTCTTTGATCAAAGGTACTGGTAGCAGTGTATTGATAGCAATTCTATTTTAGGAAGATTCTCCACCCCCCCTCCCTCTCTCTCTCTCTCTCTCTCTCTCACGCACACACGCACACACACACAGACACAAACACACTTACATACACAAATTGAGATAAAGAGAGATGGGGAAGGGGAGATAAGCTATTTTCAAGAATTGTTACTAAGCTCTAAGCACATGTACATGTACATGTACCAGTACATGTAAATATAACACTACTGTTCAAAGTCAGGTACATAAATTATGCAACTGATACAGATATCCTCGGAAATCATCTTTGTCTCAATTCTCCAGCATGCACATCCCCCCTCAAAAAAAAAATTCTTTGGCATTTCACCAAAAAACCTGGTTGTTTTCTGTGATAACCAGTTAAATGCTGCACTAAAAGCCAGGCCATATCAACACCCAACAGGGAGTAGCACTCTATCTAGGCCACTTCATAACTTGGCATTTAGACTGAGAGAACTAGAGAATTAGATAATGTAACAGCAAGGTTTACTGCACTCCCCACTCCACTATGATGTAGGTGCAGAATGGGATAACTTCACTTGGTATACATTAGTTCTCACCTGCTCATGGCTTTAAAACGTGAACGTACTTATGTACTCTGTAGGCTATGCATATTATAAATAAGCTTTATATAATATCACCTTACCCTAAGTTCTTGAAAAGCTTCATCAACTGGCAACAAACGATGACCCTGGTGAACTCCAGCATGCACGCACACGGCGCATGCCAGCATCCTACAGCTCACACAATACGCATTGACCACTTCTCTGTGCTGAGAACACTGTACAACTTTTGGACGCGGATTACGCGTGGGAGCCACTAAGGTATGCTGATTAAAAGGCTCCCTGTTTGGGTGAGTGATTTCCAAGCAATTGCTGCAATACGAGGCATTGCAGTCCATGCATGATTTCTTGGCTCGTCTTGCATGCTGACTGGTACAAAGCTGGCATGGAACGCCACCTATGGATGTGTTGCCTTCTCCATCATCGTCTTCATCTTCAATGTCCTTCAGTTACAAAATGCAATAGTAAGCCATATACAGTTTGCATGTTTTGGGGCATTACAAGCAAATAACAGCCACTGTGTCTATGCACACAAGTCAATTTTTTAAATCAAATGAATTTCAAAATTTTCAAATACAAAGTTTTACATTTCCTATTATAAATAAATAAATAATGAACGACAATTAATTAAATGTTACTTGGCATCAACCTCCACTGAGCAAAACTTAATATCTTATAAAGCATTATATAAAACTATTAAAAATTAATTCATCAAAATAAATACTGGAGTTGACCCATACTACAGACCTCTTCCTCCTGATATCTCTCTATGATATTCTCCAGAGAGATCACCCTGGGTAACACATCTATCCCTCCAGCCACATAACAGTTGTCCCTACACACTGGACACCTGATGAAGTTCTGTTCAAATAACCTCTCAGCGCAGGGTGTTCGACACAGTATGTGGGAGCAAGGGAGTATGACAGGACATGTGAAAAATTCCAGGCAAATCGGGCAATTTAGTTCCTCGAGCATGTTATCCATAATAATAATAATGTTGTCTTTCAGTATGAAAGAGCTGATTAATTTTTTCCAAACTGAATGACCAATGATCAGGGACGGTCCAACAGTCTGAGGTTGAAGGTTCTATGGAAGGAGCAGTGACTTCTTCAAGATCTCTATCCTAAGGCTTGTGAATGATTTAGATTTTAGTATAACTATTAGACTTATTAGTACATTGTAACCGACCTTTGTTTTTCTCAGCTTTTAAGGTGTGATCACTGGGTCCTGTAGCCAGATTTTATTTTTGCTGGTGTGATGACCATACTCCACAATGTCCAAAGTGGCATATAATATCACTCAAGTTCTTTTCTATTGAAGTCAACACAATTGTATTCTGGACTTTGAAATAAAACTGGCAATCTGTATCAACTTCTTTAAAATCATTTATTTATTTTTTACATTGTTATTCTTTGACCAGCTTCTCCATGTAAGGATGTTAGAATGAAATATACAAAATGCTCAAGTGCTGCATATTGATGATAAATTTCCTATTGTAAGTCCTCTTTTATATCTGTTATTCCACACAAACATGTATATGTGATTTTCCCCATCTGCTATGAATTTGTTGAAAGCTTTGACCTCAAATAGTGAAAGATGTATCTGAAAAAAAAAACATTTATAAGAATAGAATCAGTACAAAAAGAACTATGAAAAACTTATCTCAGTAACTTTTTTGTTATTATAATTATATCAATTGTCATGCTGGGTTTGTCCTGACACTGACAGGATAACTCTTATTTAAATATTACTATGATAATGAGAAAAATTAAATCTAATACTAGTACTGGATCTTACAATGAAAGGGAGATCACGATGTTTAGACCCCATTCCCATAGATTTTAGATCGATCTATCCCTGTGGGGAGTCTCACTAGATTACTGNGGCAGTATCATTATGACAGCACAGTCCATATCAATTCTCAGAAGCCATAGCTAAAACGGCTTCTTGACTTGAAACAAGATCCCGATTGTACAATGAAGTGCAGACCAGTATACTTTACAAATAAGTGTACTGCAATCCACTTGCCATGCTATTTCATGCTGAAGAGATCTACTGCAATTACTCATAGTTTTTGTACAAATCACTTACTAGTAATCAAAATCTTTTCAGTAAGAAATTCAAAGAGTGTTAGGGCGCGCGCGCGTGTGTGTGTGTGTGTGTGTGTTTGGAGCAATGTGCATGCATATACATAGGTTTGCTTGCCTACATACATACATGTATATGTGGTAATGTGGTTATATATATATATACCCTTGTATATATGGCTGGAGGGAGTTGTGCCTGAGCCTTTGTACTTATGTGTTTTATGTGAGTACAGATGCATGTCTCCATGCATTTATACACATGCACATGCTTGTGTATTCATATCAACACGACCTAATATGTTCAAAACCAAACCTGTGGGGTTTCTGTCTCCTCCCCCTCGGCACAATACAAGACATGGTAGCCGTCTACCACCTCGTAGCCAGAATTCTTAGACAGGACTAGTATAACACAGTTAGATGACCTGGAACACTTGGTCACATCTATAGCTGGGCTCTGGGGAGCTGAAATTAAATGGATAACACTGGATATATCTATTACACATGTGATCATATCACTATATGTACCTGGGCTCTTGGAGCTGAAATTAAATGGACAAAAATGGTTACATCTATGAAATTCTTTGGTTATATCTATCTATCTATCTATCTATCTATAACTGGGCTCTTTGGAGTTGCTGGGCTCTGTGGCTGGAGCTGAAATAATATGAATAAAAAACTTTGTTATATCTATTATACACTTCATGGATCTATATTGACATGAAGGGCCTGCAGAGCTGAAAAAGCATCGATATAAAACATTTAAAATCAGAATGGATGAATGCACATACATGTAAATACATATGCATGTGCATGCATAAGCACATCCTCACTAGCTGCTGTCATTAAGTGTCCTACCTGTCAAATACTGCATGTCCTTCATGATGGCCTTTTGTTTTCTGAGGTCCAGGATTTTTGTCCGCATCTTCTCCGTCTCCACTGGGGGCATATGAAGTTCCTCCACTCTGCCACAGCTCTTTATCAATCTAAATAAAATCCAGTAATCAGTCTCATGGGCAATGGGGGGGATTCTGGAGTTGCAAAAGCACAACTCTTTAGGCTGAAAAATGATGTCCATTCTGAACCAAAACTTGATCTACTAGTAGGTTAATATGCTATGCCATTTATCAGGTTGAATCAACTGAAGGGTTAAAAGGAAAACATTTTCAAGCCCCCCCCCCCATCCCCACCCCTTGTACATGTTCTAGACTTGATTGATTTCTGGGGCAGTCTGCATTAACACCCTGGAAATCAGGATGAGATAAAAAAAAAACCTCACCTTTCATTTATTGTACCAGCAATCTGCAAGAACGATGCTGGATCTGTCTCCTTCATGACCAGTTTAGCATAGTGAACTAGGCTTTGAGATTCAGCGGTCAGTTTTTTGTGGTCATTCACTGCTACCCTGACTGCAGCCACCTGGCCTTGCTCTTCTAGGTCAAGGTCAGAATGGAAAAAACGTCTTTTGGCTTCGATGAAAGCAATGAGAGAGTTACATTGTTCATCTATGTCTTGTCGCCGTCTTGCAGCTATTTCCTAGAAAAATGCATTAAATTTGCAATAAATCAATATCAGTGGTAATGCAGTCTATCAATTTACTCTTATATATATATATATTCACATTATTTATAATAAATGCACAGTGTTTTCTATCTGTAAAATAGGCAACATACATGCACAAGTGAAATGTAGACCAAAACTGGTTTTCCTGCACTTAACTCCGTACAAACTATAATCTTAACAAAATATTCTAAATTTCATTTAATAATAAAATTAACTTTTTATTTCTATCTGCTTAAATGCTTCAAGGAAAAATGAATCTGATAAACTGTTCATATCAAGCAAGGGGGGCTCCAATCAGTTGACTCTCTCATGTAATAGCCTGCATATTAAGTTAACTGTTAATCTTCCAAATACTTCAGTATCAATATATGTATACAGCTCAGTGCAAAATGGGCCCTGAAAGCCAAAGTAATCGTCATTACCTGATAAACCTTCAGTTGATCTTCCTCCGATTTCACTGCCTCGGCTGCAGCTTCCTGGCTACTCTCAGTGCTCTTCATACTCACTTCCAGACTAGACTGAAATACATATATATCCAATACTCAACATACATTCTGGGAACTATTTCACAAAAAGTTGTAAACTATTAAGGCTTAGCTAAAAAGCTAAAATCAGGTAGTAAGAAATAATGCTGTAAAGTTTCTCTTTTACAGATTTTACCTGACAATATGTAGTTGATACACAGTTTTCAGCCAGGTTGTTATTTTTCTTTGATCAAAGGTACTGGTAGCAGTGTATTGATAGCAATTCTATTTTAGGAAGATTCTCCACCCCCCTCCCTCTCTCTCTCACGCACACACACACACACACACACACAGACACAAACACACTTACATACACAAATTGAGATAAAGAGAGATGGGGAAGGGGAGATAAGCTATTTTCAAGAATTGTTACTAAGCTCTAAGCACATGTACATGTACCAGTACATGTAAATATAACACTACTGTTCAAAGTCAGGTACATAAATTATGCAACTGATACAGATATCCTCGGAAATCATCTTTGTCTCAATTCTCCAGCATGCACATCCCCCCTCAAAAAAAAAATTCTTTGGCATTTCACCAAAAAACCTGGTTGTTTTCTGTGATAACTAGTTAAATGCTGCACTAAAAGCCAGGCCATATCAACACCCAACAGGGAGTAGCACTCTATCTAGGCCACTACATAACTTGGCATTTAGACTGAGAGAACTAGAGAATTAGATAATGTAACAGCAAGGTTTACTGCACTCCCCACTCCACTATGATGTAGGTACAGAATGGGATAACTTCACTTGGTATACATTAGTTCTCACCTGCTCATGGCTTTAAAACGTGAACGTACTTATGTACTCTGTAGGCTATGCATATTATAAATAAGGGTTATATAATATCACCTTACCCTAAGTTCTTGAAAAGCTTCATCAACTGGCAACAAACGATGACCCTGGTGAACTCCAGCATGCACGCACACGGCGCATGCCAGCATCTTACAGCTCACACAATACGCATTGACCACTTCTCTGTGCTGAGAACACTGTACAACTTTTGGACGCGGATTACGCGTGGGAGCCACTAAGGTATGCTGATTAAAAGGCTCCCTGTTTGGGTGAGTGATTTCCAAGCAATTGCTGCAATACGAGGCATTGCAGTCCATGCATGATTTCTTGGCTCGTCTTGCATGCTGACTGGTACAAAGTTGGCATGGAACGCCACCTATGGATGTGTTGCCTTCTCCATCATCATCTTCATCTTCAATGTCCTTCAGTTACAAAATGCAACAGTAAGCCATATACAGTTTGCACGTTTTGGGGCATTACAAGCAAATAACAGCCACTGTGTCTATGCACACAAGTCAATTTTTTAAATCAAATGAATTTCAAAATTTTCAAATACAAAGTTTTACATTTCCTATAATAAATAAATAATGAACGACAATTAATTAAATGTTACTTGGCATCAACCTCCACTGAGCAAAACTTAATATCTTATAAAGCATTATATAAAACTATTAAAAATTAATTCATCAAAATAAATACTGGAGTTGACCCATACTACAGACCTCTTCCTCCTGATATCTCTCTATGATATTCTCCAGAGAGATCACCCTGGGTAACACATCTATCCCTCCAGCCACATAACAGTTGTCCCTACACACTGGACACCTGATGAAGTTCTGTTCAAATAACCTCTCAGCGCAGGGTGATCGACACAGTATGTGGGAGCAAGGGAGTATGACAGGACATGTGAAAAATTCCAGGCAAATCGGGCAATTTAGTTCCTCGAGCATGTTATCCATAATAATAATAATAATAATGTTGTCTTTCAGTATGAAAAGAGATGATTAATTTTTTCCAAACTATTTGACCAATGGTCACTGACGGTCCAACATTCCGAGGCTTAAGGTTCTATGGAAGGAGCAGCGACTTCTTCAAGATCTCCATCCTAAGGCTTGTGAATGATTTAGATTTTAGTATAACTATTAGACTTATTAGTACATTGTAACCGACCTTTGTTTTTCTCAGCTTTTAAGGTGTGATCACTGGGTCCTGTAGCCAGATTTTATTTTTGCTGGTGTGATGACCATACTCCACAATGTCCAAAGTGGCATATAATATCACTCAAGTTCTTTTCTATTGAAGTCAACACAATTGTATTCTGGACTTTGAAATAAAACTGGCAATCTGTATCAACTTCTTTAAAATCATTTATTTATTTTTTACATTGTTATTCTTTGACCAGCTTCTCCATGTAAGGATGTTAGAATGAAATATACAAAATGCTCAAGTGCTGCATATTGATGATAAAATTCCTATTGCAAGTCCTCTTTTATATCTGTTATTCCACACAAACATGTTTATGTGATTTTCCCCATTTGCTATGAATTTGTTGAAAGCTTTGACCTCAAATGGTGAAAGATGTATCTGAAAAAAAAAAAAAAAAAAAACATTTATAAGAATAGAATCAGTACAAAAAGAACTATGAAAAACTTATCTCAGTAACTTTTTTGTTATTATATTATATGGGTTTGTCATGCTGGGTTTGTCCTGACACTGACAGGATAACTCTTATTTAAATATTACTATGATAATGAGAAAAATTAAATCTAATACTAGTACTGGATCTTACAATGAAAGGGAGATCACGATGTTTAGACCCCATTCCCAAAGATTTTAGATCGATCTATCCCTGTGAGGAGTCTCACTAGATTACTGTCAGCTTAGCCGGCTTAAGTGTCTGTCGCCTACTAAAAGCTGTAAGAGGGTAATTAACTATGGTGCGCGCTCGGCTGACTGCAATTTAGTGTGAACCCCCAGGGAGTTAAGTTGATCTAAATCTCTGGATTGATCCAAATTTCTGGGAATGCACCCTTAGATCTTATCAAAATTTTGAGTTGTCACCAGCATCACATCCAAATCATTCACTCATTTAAATGCATTCTTTTAGCTTGCAAAATGTTAAAGATTTTACCATTTTACCAGGTACAGTAAGCTGATATATACATATACATGTACTGCATTATGTCACTGCAACCTTTTTTTATTTTTAAAAAAATTTTAAAAAGGAGGGGGGGAGGGAGATCCCTTATATCTTTACAGCAACATCTTCCTCCTTTTTTCATTTTCTTTTATTTTTACTCCTGCATGCATCTCCAGAACAAAGACACGTACCTTATGGCATCTTGCCACAAGGCACAAAATGCAGTGCATTTCAGAAGAAGGAACACTCAGGTGCTTCTGACTCACTCTCACACTGTTACCTAGGTATCCAGAAGTACCCTGCATAATGTAGGGTTCCTTTTTTTAGGAGACTGAGATTTTAGGAGAAGTTTCCAGAGCATGGTGTGACTTTGGGATCACTGTATATGTCACTGTCCTAAAATATGGGGGTCAGGAAAGAATGCCTGCTGCCAGAAATGCTACATGTACATTAGCAAATATCTCAAGCTATTTCAGATATATGAATGTATGGCAGTTACTACTGTGGCTACATAGTGGTGGTGATGGTGGTGGTGATGGTGGTGGTGGTGGGGGGGGGGGGGGTAGTAGAAAGTCACCATGCATCCGCTAGCGCCATCAATTATAGAATGATGGAGAAATCTGAATATTTGTTGGGTTGAGGAGGATCACACTCAGTACTCTCAAACTCAGGATGTGGATGTTGGTACTGGATAGAGGAGATGTTACAATCTACACTCTGAAGCTCAGGGTGTTAAACTAACATCAATTTATATATGAGTACATGTTCAAGCTGTGCTTAATGGCTGAAATACATTGTAATTCATATTGAACTGAAATAAAATAACGAATCAAATTAAAGGCAGTTCATTTGTATGCTACAAAAATGTCCAGTCAATTTACATTACTAAACACTTAATTACTGGTAGTAGGGATGCTTGTGACATATTATAGTACGTATAGTGTTACATCTGTTGTATTGTGACTATAGAATCCATGCATTATGGGATCCTATCTAGATGGACCTGAATGTGTGTGGATATGTTTATGCGTACTAGCGTGCATCAACTTGTCCCAGTTTATGTCATGTTGGGTGTCACCACATTTTAGCTAACAAAGTCTGATTTTTCAATTTTACAGCTAATTAACGGCTAAATGAACTATAAAACATGGTTCAAAGGATTTTAAGACTAACATTGCGCCCCCCCCCCCTTTTTTTGGAATGCCATGTCGCNTTCATCCATAAAATCGTATGATCAACAGATTTCTTCTTTGTATCACACATACCTTCTGTTTCTCTGGTCCTTTAACTTAGTTCTTGACCACTTTAGAAATCGTGTCTTCAGCTTATGTAGACGTGAGCACGAAATTCTGACACCATGTTAATGAAATAAGTCAAACACGTGGATATAACTGAACCGGAAGTGCCCTGGGAGCGTTTATTATATAACAAGTATCAATAAGAGGGAGCATCCCTTAACACCCTTCATCTCAAAACCTTATTTTGGTACCTTCTACTAGGTTAACAGATTGATTCTTCACTAGATATTCACAGTTGTCTTTGGCTATTTCATGGCACACATCTCCAGAGAAACTGAGCACGATTAATCTGCGGCACTAGCAGGGGGTACGTAAATTATTTTTGCATGCATGTATCAGGTATGCCAGTTTGACAAAAGGAACTTTGCGATAGTACACAGCCTCCTAACCATTATTCTATGACAGACATTTCACCAATCTGAATGATTTTAAGGATGAAAACAATAATGGTGAACATATTACCTCTAATATTTCAATGCACCCGATATATTCTTGCGGGTCAATCTTCCAATCTTCAACGGGGCAATGTTGACATTCTGAAATACAAGTGGAGCTAAAAAGCGTTTAAAATTTTGTTTCGTATGGCGCAACTAACACAATTGCATTTGGCTAATTCACTACTAGTTCAAGGTCCGTACAAAGATTTTGACAAAAAATACAGTGATCACTTCTTAAATAAATGAGACAATCTACTTAGGAAAATATCATTCATTTTCAATTTTGCAAATAAACTGGTAAACTACTGAGTGAAAGACAGACGTTTCATGTTTATTTACAAGTGAAGAATACAGCTACTGTACATTCATATATATTTTTTCTTTTTTGAAGGGAGAAGGGAGGGTTGAAGTTGAAACTGTCATCAGTTTTTCCAGTTCAAAAGCATTTCTGAAAATGAATATGCACTGATCCATATCAATGACATTAAATATGCCTTTAAGTTGTTTTTTGTTCTTTAATTATTTCTGCTGGACGTGGACTAATAATTTCAGCCTAGCCACACACTAATTTCATGCCCATTGCTTTGTGTGAAGACCTCCAAAAACAAACTGCCAATAAGTCATATATTGATGCTCTTACAGATTGTTACTGTTCATGTCTAAATGGAATCTTCCAATGCTCTTTGATTAATATATATCTACACCAAGTTACTGAATAATTGGAGGGAGAAATTATCATCTTTTTCTTTTCCTCTTTGGATTTCCATCATGATCAGCTGGCCGGGCAACATGGTTGTCCCCACTGGATTCACTTGCACGCTGGTATAGCTTTAATAGTTCCATGGCCTCCGAAGTTTTTATCCGGTCATCCAAATATCTCTGACATGTTTCTTGAAGCGTTTCCACATTACTCGTGCTATCCTGAAGAATACGAGCTAGCTCGTGTGGGTCCAGGTCGACTATGTCCTGTGAAGAAGTAGGGAAATTTCCATATAAATTCATGATTATCCTATTAAATGAAGTAAATTCTGATCTGAAATATTAAACATGTCTTTTTTTTTTTTTTTTTTGCTATAAAACAGGTGTAATGTTTTAATTAGTTGGACTACTTCTGATTAATCTTGGGTTAAGCAGACTGGAATTTTGGTCTGTATGTTTACTAGTAGTCTTTTATGCACCATGCTCCAAGTCCACAAATTCCATACTTTCTGGTAATTTTCCCATCTAATGGTTTTAAAGGTATCTATATTGTAATGTCACACTACCTGTGTTTTGATGATATCCAGATGCTACAATGCTTGTATTGAAATCTCATTGCATTCTGTAGCAAAAACACCACCAAAGTTTTCCTCCTTTTTCCTCCTAATTTTATTAGAAATTCATGCCTAATTAAAAAATTTTGGAACCACAGAAACAATAATACCTGCAGTTCCTCATTGGATAACAAGAAGAATGCTTCAGGGTCCTCTTGTAACCTATCTTTCAACCTCTGTATAGTAATAGTTATGCCAGAACTTGTTGCAGAGTCTGTATCCACTTTGTAAATTTCTTTTCCAAAATCTGTTTCATCTGGTGATGGATCTGGAAAAAAAATAACTGTTCAGTTTATTTTATTGTACAGCTTTATGAAAGGTTAAGTCTCACCCTGGTTATCCAGTTCCTCTCTCTCTCTCTAAAACACACAAGCACAAACTATGAACAGGGGGTGATTTGAACATTAAGTCTCATTCTCTGACTACTGGGGTATGCACAAGACAGAAAGAGAGAGAGTGGAAGAGAGAGAGATAGTGAAAATGCAAACTTTAAAATTATATTTACATATAACCATGTAGCTAAGAACAATTATTACTCATACCTCTAACTTTGGTCCATTTTTCTCCAGGTTTCAATAGTAAAAATGTTGTATTATCTTTCAAACAAAGAAAGTAATCGTTATCTTCAACTTCTGTTCCATCTTCTTCTAAGACTACTTTCACTTTGCTGTCATCTGGAATTCCTAATTTTTCCTTTCCTGCAGCAGTGTTCGAACAAAAAAGAGTCACCTATTAATATGCAGTCTGCAACATTAAATTTCATTAATTTGTTCAGTTGCTACTGTCCACCATACTTATTAACATATTTGAAACAGAACTCTTAAAATATTTTATTTTATCAGAGTCCATATTTACAATTCATGGTAACCATGTTTTTTTTTTTTTTTTTTTTTTTTTT